AAAAAAGCCTCTGTGCAGAGGAAGGAGAAGGGTGCATGGCGCATGGTGTAAAGGGGCAAGGGACTGGGGCCTTGTGGCACTCAGCTTCTCTGATTCAAAGGATGGACAACCCTCCCTGGTGCAGCGCTGCACTGAAGCATGTTACTGCCCCACTGAGATAGGTTTGCTAAAAATAATAGAAAACAGAGGCAGTCGTGCTAACAGGGTTGGAAGCTGTGATTCAGGAAGGTCCTTCATGTCCCCTCTTGTCTGATTCTTTGAAGGAGACAATAATTTCTCATCTTTCCTCTTACTTCAGGATCTGTGGTCTGGTCGGATACGGGGAAGCCACTTCCCTAATTCCTGGTAGGGACAGGATGCTCCCACAGACCCACTCTGCTCCTCCAGGCAGCCTTCTCAGGCTCCAGACAGCAGCATGTTTATATCATTTTTATTAGTCACCGCTCAAATGCAATAACCAGCCACCGTGCGTCTGGGTTAGGAGGGTGAGGACAGCTAGCTGGGGGGATAGTGGCTTAGTGGCTGCTGGGGGGACGGGGGACTGAAGGCTGCTGCCCAGGTGACTCCATCTGGGCTGTGCTGAGGCACGGGTGCTGCAGCCCTTCAGGAGCGGAGTCCCCAAATGCTGGCTTGGCAGCTGAGCTCCCAGGCAGAAGGGGCAGCGTGAGTGCCAGCGTGGTGGTGGGGCACAGCTGCCCCATGGCCAGTGGGATGCAGTGCCACTGCGATTGCCTGCCCTCAGCCACCCCGGCCCCCAGGGTCTGCAGACCCTCCCTGTTCTGCCAGCACCAAGGGGCAATGTGTTTTCTGAAAGCAACTTTTGCTGGCAGCACATACCATGTTCATTGTTATAGCAGCCCGGAATGGAATGGAGAAACCGAGGTGTGAAGGGCTCCTTTGAAGATCTTTGCCTGAATAATACAGATCCCAGCCTAGCAAGACCCCTATGCCTGCTGAATGCATTGCTGGGCTCCCGGGGGGACCTGGATCAGCTCTGAGGGTGTGTATATGTGCAAGCGGTTTTTCCTCTTAAAAACAAAGCAGAGGAATGAAACAGCACAGCCTCCCTCACATGTGTTTCAGGCTATATGATAAAAAGGGCAGAGCATTGCTGTTAGAATGAAGGTGCCTCTTTATTATGCAGCAAAGTAATTATTTCCCAGCCAGTAGATAGGACTCCAGCCACTTGGCACTTTCTTACGTGCCATTTTCCAATCCAAAAGAGCAACTTGGGATTTTGTGATAATTCAAGCAATCAGATGAGCTCATGCACATGGCATTCATTCACTAGAAACGCCACACAGATCCCGTTCAGTCTCAGCACTCGTAAATACATGTGACACTTTTATCTATTTATAAACTTTTAACAGCAGGTTATGATTGTTATGCAAGCCATTTTCCAGGGATTAATAAGCAGCTTGTGTTGATGGCAGCAAGAAGGGCCATTAACTGCTCTGGGACAGTCATTAATCTGTAGTAAATGCTCAGCATCTGGATCATTTCTGCGTAATTAAATAATCAATACTGCCTTTTGATTCAAATAACTGGAGAATTGTATTTCAAATTTATCTTGGCTTGGGGTGTTCTTAATTCTTTTAGTTTACAACAGGGCAGGAAAGAGGCATATGGGCAAGTGAGGGCTTCTCTTTGTGTGACTGGCTCTTATCAGCTATTTCCCATAAAACGTCTCAAGGGATCAAAATATAGTTCAAAATGCCCACCAAAACCATTAATTGGACTGGATGGAGAAAAAAAAAATCACAAATTTGCTGTCCTTTTCCTTGTTAATATAGAGATCTTTCATTATTGGAACAAAAGTACATCTCTGAGTGACCTGA